GATCAACGCCGGGGGTCACGGGGGAGTCCCCAGCAGTCGGGGCGCCCTGCTTCCCCCTCTCCTAGCCGGAGCACCCTTCCTGAACATTCCCTCTCTTCCCGCGAGTTGTTTCCCTGAGGCGCATTTTGGCGGTCTGTACGGGAACCTCAGAACTTTTTGTTTTCAGTATAGGTATCAGCTGGCGGCAGACACTTCTTCCTGCTCCTTGGAGGAGTGGCGGGGAGGAGGGGGAGTGTGAAGCAAGGCCTGCTCCCTGGCCTAGGGAACTAGATGCTACAGGATCAGGGATTCTGTGCAGGAAAGAGTTAACAGAGCAGGCCTGCTCTCCTTAGAAAGGCCTGCTTGCAAGAGTGGCTCTGGGCTGGTGTCTGGATTTCCAAGGTGTTCCGCACTTAAGAGTGGCTCAGTTTGGGCTCTTTGTACAAACTGTGTTTATGTTGAACACTGCTGGGCAGAGAGGGCCTGCACGGCCAGCCCCCAGGAAAATCCTTGGGTTCTGAGTCTCTCATGGGCTTTCCTGGGCAGAATCATTGCACATGTGTTGCTGCATTTGGTTGCCAAGGAAAGAATGTGCTCCGTGTGACCCTCATGGGAAGGAGAGAGCATAAGTGCACAGGTGGATTCCTCTAGACTCCACCTGTGTCTTCTCCCCTTATGATCCAGTTCTGTGTCCTAACTGCATCGCTGTAATAAATCCTACCTCTGAGTTCTGTGAGTCCCTCTAGTGAATCTCCAAGGTGGGGGTAATCTTGGCCCCCACCCCCAACACAGATCCCAAAGGAAGAGAGAGCTCTAAGTGGGGATTTCTTGCAGCCACCATGCCCATGCTGCAGGATGAGGACTGAGAAAAGACCCTTAGTTTTTTATGCTGATACTATTATGATTGATACTCAGCTGAGGGAAAGAGAGAGGGAAGCTTGAGATGGAAACAGGTTACAGGAAGAATTGTTTTTGGTGTGGAGCCCAGAGGATGTCTGCAGGCAGAGAGAGTAAGAGGGGAGGGGGCAGTTGAGAGCAGTTAGTTAGAGGTTTGCCCTGGATGGTTCTGGTTTATGCCTCTTGTCCTGAGATAGTTATTAATAGTACCGCCTTTCACTCTCATGTTACTATTTGTGCAATACATTATATGGTGACCCTAGTTAGAGCATTATACCTTTGAATCATATCTGGGTTGAGTCCCTTTGGGCAAATAGCTAAACCTCTTGGAGTCTCCATTTTTTTTTTAATCTGTGGTACTCGTCAGATCCACTAGAAACAGAACCAATAAAAAAATATTTTTTTTTAATTGCAAGAATTGGTTTATGTGGGCATGCAGACTGGCTAGGCAAGCCTAAGGTCTGTAGAGCAGGCTGTCAGGAAGGGCAGGCTAGAAACCCTTGGGCAGAAGTAGATGCTGCAGCCCACTGGTGGAATTTCTTCTTCCCCAGGGAAACCTCAATTCTGTTCTTAAAGCCTTTCAAGTGACGTGATCAGGCTCACCTAGATTATCCAGGATAATCTCCTTTACAAAGAGTCAACTGATGTAGATGTTAATCACTCTACAAAATACCTTCACAGCGATATCTAGATAAGTATTGAATAACTTGGTACTGTAACCTATCCAAACTGACATGTAGTAAGAATCCCTACTCTACACAGGAGTCTGTGAGGATGAAATGAGACGGTGATATACAAACTGCTGAGCATAGGCCTGGCGTGGTCTCAGCATAGTGAGCCTTAATCAATCTTAGCTGCTATTGTTTTTATTAGCTTATCATTACAGATACAAACAAGAGGCAGTATAACAAGCCCATAATCCTCTTAGGCAATTCAGAAATCAAATAAGCTCTGAAAACCAGAAGGTTTTTTTTTAAAAGTCATTTGACAGCACAACCCGACCTGATCTGACCTCCTTCGGTGATGGAACCTTGTTGGAGCTCCACGGGACTATTTATAGTCTTTATTTACCCTACTTAGTGTGAGTATTCACGTTTATGCTTTACTGTGGAACCAGTAATATGGTTGGTTATGGGGTGCTGCCTCAGACCCCCTGTAGGTGTTGCAGCGTGCACCCCGTAACACCTTTCTACAATCTGACAAATTCTGAATTCAAAAACTCATCTGACCCCCAAGAGTTTCTGCTAGGGGATTGTGGGCCTTGTGTAAGAAATCTTTCCGAAACATCTAGCTGTGAATGTCTCATTTCTCCTATAATCATTTGAATGAGAGTCAAGGCAGACCCACCTGTTGGTGGTTTGTGGTCAAAGTTTGGGCACCGTGCAGGGAGCTGCATAGGATCTTCAGTGGATGCTTTAGATTGGAAATCACGAGGTGGGGGTGGTGGGTATAGCTCAGTGGACGTGTGTGTATTTAGCATGCGTGAGGTTCAGTCCCCAATACCTCCATTAAAAAAGAGGAGAGAGATTGGAAATCACAAAAGACAGGGGTCCTGGCTGCTGGTGTCTTTCACAGAACCTACAGCGTTCTAGACATACTGCATGAGGCCCTATGCTTCTTTACTCCTTTGGGGCAGGTTACGTTCTCAGAGTGATGCACAGCAAGGCTCCCTGAATCATTCACATGTGGGAGGATGAAGACAGCTACATGCGTGCTTCCAGCATGAATTAGTCCTCTCAGAATACCTGCCGAAATCCGGCCTCCTTGATGCCTCTTCGAAGGCCATTTTCCCAGTAATTCTAGTAAGGCTTGCATCAAGGAGGCCATTTTTAAGGACCTGTCCTGTAGATAACACATAGGTCATGGAGTAAGCATGTTGAGCAAAAATGAATGTCAAGGAAGGTCACATGTTTCCAGAGGGCCTTCCAGTGCTCCTTGAGTTCTTCCGCTGCCCTTATACGCAGACGCATTGATCGCACACTTTCACCAGCAATTTTTCCATGTCACAGCAGCTGTTCTCATAGCCGGGTTCCACTGTTTACAAGTTACAGGTCAAAGACTGGCGTTCAAGTTTTCAGCAAGGAAGGATGCCATGGGAAGGGCCAGGGCTTTAGAGTCGAACAGGTCTGAGTCTGAATTCTGGCTGTTCATTCATTTTCCAGCTGAAAAATGGCTGGCAAGTTATTTAAACTCGAAGCCTCAGTTTCTTCATCTACAAAACAGGCATAGTAATACCTCCCTCTAAGGTCAATATAAAAATTGACCTAAGTGACATACGTAAATAAACGTGTGTAACATATGGAGAGCGCTTAGCACAACAGATTCTCAGTAAATGCGAATTTCCCTGCTCTTCCTTTGATTACACCTGAAATATATTAATTGTCCTGAATTGCAGGCCTCTAGTAGCCAGCATGCATGGCTGAGGGCCCAGCCCAGGCAATGTGATCAAAGTATATTCTTGCATGACTTACCCTCACATTGCACTTTTAGAATTAAATAACAGCATAAATCACAAGCCTTTCGTGAGTTTGGTGTTCGTTCTTCCTTGGGAGATGAACGTGTGCCGGGACTAGGGGTGAGGGGGGTGTACTGTCTTTGCTGCTGGTGTTCCACCCTGTATGTCAGACACTGGAGTCTTAAGAATTTTCCCTGACGGAGACGCGTCAGTGGCCCAAGAAGTATATTTTCCTCCATCGCGGCAATGGAGGGAAACGGTGGGGGAAGGCTTGGTTTATTAAGGGAAACAGATGTCATGAAGCAGTTAGTTGGGGCAGGGAGGCTGGAGTGACTTCGAGGATTCTCTTTGATCCAGAGGAAGCGTCATCCTTAACCCTCCAAGTGCAACACTGATTTTTGCCATCCTCAGAAGACATTTCTGCCTTAATTGCATTGTAGTAGGAGACCAAGAGCAGGGAGGGCCGCCCCCTCTTCCCCGCCTGCCCCCCCCCCACCCCCGCGCGCGCTCAGCACAACATCTGGGCCTGGGACCAGATGTTTGAATTTAACAAACACATATTAAGTGTTTGTTATTAAAGAGCCAACTCTGCCAGGCACTGTCATTGACTCATTGACTCATTTAATGATGACCACAGCCCCCTGAGGAAAGTGCTATTATCATCTCATTTTTCAGGTGAGGAAGGAGGCACAGGGAGGTTAAGTAACTTGCCCAAGGTTACACAGCTAGTGAGTAATAGAAGTGGACCAGGCTGTGCTTTCTCCGGCTTGTGCAAATTAAATGAGCCACCAAGAGCCTCCCTTTCAGGCAGCAACCTGTTCTGGGATATATTAATTCGGTCTAAGAAGAGAGAGGGCAAACATGACCAGAAATGTGGTTTAGCTTTGGAGTTTATGTAGAACAACCCTGGACCCTGAACTTGCCCAGGGCCCTTCCGGCCATTAGGGTTATTCTTTGTAAATAAAATATGTCTGTGCTCAGTCACCAGCTCTCCTTGGAATCTGCACTAAGCAGGGAGGGGGGCTACAGGTATTTTCTGCTTTTCTAAAACTTAACAGTAGTGAAAAGCAGCGCTGTGCTTTCTGTGGAAGAGTCAGTTTGGACAGACAGCAAAGCATTTCTAGACAGTGAAGGCTGTTGGATAGAGGCGGGTGAGTAAAGATGTGAAACCACCCTCTCTAATTACACAATAGAACGATGGCTTGTAGCCATTTGGCTGTGTTAAGGAATGTATTTTGCATCCTACCCCAGTACGTACGTACGTACGTACGTACGTACACACACACACACACACACACACCTGAAACAAAAGTGCACACACACACACACACACACACCTGAAACAAAAGTGCCATGAAACAGTCTTTCTTACTATATGTGATGCACTCTAATGTTTTCTAAACAGTCTTTCTTACTATATGTGATGCACTCTAATGTTTTCTAGTTTATGTTCTTCTTTGAACTTTTTGTTCCTATTTCATTTTTTTAAAAAACTCTATTGATAAATCACTAAATTGATTCTGTTGACCACTAATATGTTATCAATGCCAACTGCAGTTAGGAAAACACGGCCTTATAGACTATTAGTGGAGGCCCCGGGTGCTTCTGCAGGAGAGAACGTCGGTAGCAGTTTCTCTCTTTCTCAAGAAGAGTCCCCGGTGAGGAACTTCTGCCCCGCCCCCGGCCTCTGGTGCAGGGTCTGAGGGCCTTGGAGGCTCAGGAGCCTCCAGCCCACAGCCGGCCCCCCTCCCCCACCCCACAGCTTGGGTAGCCCCTGGTCATGGTAGCTCGCACCCACAGCAGGCACTCTCTCCAGGCCCTGCTTGGCCGCGGGCGGGGAGGAAGGCCAGATGAAAGATAAAGGCCCAGCCTGGTTCATGCAGGTGGCTCCCTGGTTCCCGAACCTCTGGGTACCTCTGACCTGTGTCTTGCCTTGAGGTCTTGAGTCTTTTGGATGAATCTCCCAGGACACACTCACCATCTCCTGGTCCCAGGCAAGTGCAGGGTCCTTGTGCTGTGTGCTTTCCGGTGGGGCAGGCCAGAGAGGGGACCGAGCCTGGGATTCCACGGCTCCAGGTTCCAGACCCCGCTTTCCCTCTAATACGCTCTGTGACTCCAGGCAAGTCTCATAATCTCCCCAGGCCTGGATCGTCACATCTGTCAAATGAAAGTGTTAGATTGCCTTCAAAGCCCCTTCTAGTTTTAACTAAAAATTCCTCCAGAGTTCTTACCTGTCCCTTGGGAATTGCATTTTTTCCTGTCCTTCCTTTAGTGTACTCATGAATATAGCAAACAATAAAGTGTAAAACTCATTGTTAGAACTGCAAAGAAACAGCATTGCTTGTATATTTCTAGCACTGTAAATGGTTTTTTGAAGGACAAACCAGTAAAATATAAAAAGTGATTACTTTGTTCATCTACTTTGGCCCGGGAACTCCATGTACTGAAATAGGCCTCAAGGAAATAACTCAGTAAATTATAAAGTAACTTATAGAAAGACATTCGTAAAGTTGCCATTTATAGTTCTAAGGAATTGGAAACAATCCAAGTGCCCAAAATAGAAGGATAGCTAAACAGTGCCCAGCATCACTAATATAAGATAGAGCTGTTTAAGTGACAGCCGTTTTGGTTATATCAATGCATGAAAATGCTTGTATGAACTAAAATTTACCTATAAGGAGCAAAATATAAAATAGATCATTTACACTGATTACATCCATTTATGTAGATGAAGATGAAAGGAAATTTGGGCTGATTTAGGTAATTCATCATTTAATTTTCTTTTGATTTTTTAATCTGTGTAGAGTTTCTTCAGTTCCTGATTCTTTTTTTAGAGAGAAATGTATTGCCTTGGGCTTGTCATGATAATTTGTAACTCTTCCAAGTTTGTGTGAGCGCAGGTAGGGCCGGCTGGCCGAGAGGAGGCTTGCAGAAGGCTGCTTTGTAACTTCACCCACCGTCCTCTGCACAGCCCTTGAGCTGGAAGAGCTGGGCTCTTTGCCTCCTCCTCACGACTTTTCTTCTGCTTTCTAGGAAGATCAGCCCATCTACATGGCAGTGAAGGGGGTGGTGTTTGATGTCACTTCTGGAAAGGGTAAGTGGCTTGGCTTTATGAATCCTTACGTCTGGGGAGCATGGCAGCCAGAGTGGGTGCTGGAGGTGGGAGGAAAGGGAGGGAACGCTGAGCAAGTCCTTTTCTCTGGATGGAGTTAGCAGTGTTTATCAGTGTTACACTTCAACAGTTTTTTCCTAATAATATCATGCTCCTGCTCAAAAGTCTTCCATGGCTCCCTGCTGCCTATAGAATCAGAGTCAAACTGGATGGCTTGCCTTAGTTAAAGCAGTGAGAGGAAAAGTATCACTTAGCAAAGCATTGAGATCATAGAACATTATAAAACACTCTAATGCCATTTCATGGTTTCCCTGACGGAAACTACAACTGATATCATGGAAGTGGTTTTGTGATAGTTCATTGTTTATTTGATACCAAACAAAAGATGTGTGGAAATAGACTTGGCTTCCATGAACATTTAAGAAGAAAGAACATTTTTCTTCTTTACATTTTAAATATTTTTAAGAGATTATTTTCATTCTGTGTTTTTAAAAGGTCACATCTCAGCCCAGCATATTCTGAATTAGCAGAATCCAAATGGATGGCTGAGGGCAGCTTATTGGACTTCGGTCCTCACTGCTGCCCCTTTCCTTGGGCCAGAGCCTTTCCAGGACTGGGTTAGGTCTGGAAGCCCCTACTGTGTACAGCTTCCACTCACAGCCTCTTCCTTCCTCCCCACTACAGAGTTTTATGGCCGAGGAGCCCCCTACAATGCCCTGACTGGGAAGGACTCCACCAGAGGTGTGGCCAAGATGTCCCTGGATCCTGCAGACCTCACCCATGACACTGTGAGCCAGATTCTGAGCCTCTGTCAAAATGGCCCACCTCCTTGGCCATGGCTTTTTTCCTCCTCTGGGCTGTAGCAAAGCTTCCTGACTAGCCCGTTTATGTTCCTGTCCACTCAGTGTGGCAGCCAATTGTTTTCTTGAAATAGATATCTTACAGTGCCACTCCCACCCAGAAACTTTCCGTAGCTCCCCATGGCCTACAGAGTCAAGTTCAAACTCGTATGAACCTGGGATCAAGCTCAGTGCTCTTCACAGTTTGCCTCCAACCTGCCCTGGCAGCCCCATCCCCCTTACAGTCTGCACCCGCCACCCCCAGTCTCTTAGACATTTGCTATTAATCTCCGAGACCCACTTTCCAGGCCACCTTTGGTAGCTCAGAGGAGGGACAGGTCTGAGAAGCAGAGTCTCCCCCCACGCTTGTATTTCTGTGAAGGAGAAAATAGCATTAACAAAAACCATTCCAGGGTCTGAATAATCCCAACAGAAAGGCTGGCATTCACCCCAATTGTGCTCAGATGAGTCAAACTGTCAAGCCGCAAAGTTACAGAAACAAATTAAGGAATGAAGGAGGGGAAGGGTGTGTAAATCTATAAAGAGAGGATGGTAGAGAGCAGAGGGATTAATTGGGCAGAGGGGATGGCTGCAGACACACACAGTGCACCCCGTGCTGGCCCCTGTTCTCTGGAATCATTAATTCCTACATCAGTCAAACCACAAAACATGATGAAGCCATTGCTCCCCACAACATCACCCCCCTAACACACACATACGCACACAGGGTTGTCTCATAAAAAGTCACTTGTCCATGATTTGGTTTTTGAGATATTTTTTCTCTTGCATTAGGGGCGCGGGGAGAGTAAGGCAGCAGGGGAGGGGATGGTGGAGCCAGTGCCAGGCACCAGCCACTCATTCCCATCCCTGTATTTCTCGGGCTTTTCTCCCCAAGACCGGCCTGACGGCCGAGGAGCTGGAATCCCTGGATGATGTCTTCACCAGAGTGTACAAAGCCAAATACCCCATCGTCGGCTACACGGCCCGAAGAATTCTCAACGAGGACGGTAGCCCCAACCTGGACTTCAAGCCTGAAGACCAGCCCCATTTTGACATAAAAGACGAGTTCTGACATCCCACCTGGAGGAGCTCATTGCTGAGAGGGTGAGGCAGGGAGACACTCAGGGGTGGAATCTCCCGCAAAACAGGCTGCCTGGGCCTCTGGTCACCGGCTCTGAATAAAGCAGGCATTTACCTGGAATGCGGGATGCCCTTTGTTGCCCGTGGACAGGTGCTCTGTCCCACCCAGGTATCCTGCCCGCACCAGCCAGGGTGGTAACAGTAGCCGAGGGGGCGCCTCCTGGGTGTCAGCGTGGGCTGTGTGGGCAGTGGAATTACGAGTGACCTTTAGTTCTTCTTTATATTGTTCTGTACTTGGCAAGATTTCTACTGTGACCATGTTTACTCTAGAATAAGCACCAAAATAAACTTCCTATTTTCACAAAAGGTGAATTCTTCACACACGCCCTCTCCTTGTAGCCTCATCAGCACCATTCGTCAGGGACAGCCCCGTGCTGCCCCTCTGCTGCCCTATAAGGGGGCTGGGCAGCAGGGGCATCTGAAAGATGTGGCAGAAATGGGTGGATTAGGTGGGGGGTGGACAACGGGAAAGGGAGCTATTAAAGGGCTGGCTTTACCCCACAGCCGGGAGAGTGATGGTGTGAACCGGCTTCAGCCCCATCTGCAGCTGGGAAGTGGTAAGGAGGCCCCGGGTCCAGTGTGGGCAGAGCCTGGCCTGGAGGTCGTTCGAAGGATGGTGAGGCCCATGCAGCACGCTGGACTCAGGTCGGATTTCATAAGGAAATCCCTTTTGAGGGCGGGATTTTTTTCTCTCAAGGACATTTGGCAATGTCTGCAGCTATTTTTAAAGTTTTGATTTGTCACAACTGTAGGATGCTACTGGCATCCAGTATCCAGGAGTTGTTAAATACCCTACAATGCACAGGACAGCCCCACAACACAGAACTGTCTGATCCAAAATGTCTGTTATGCCAAAGTTGAGAAATTCTGCTTTAGATTCATCCTGGAAATTTTACCATCGAGATGAATTTCTTTGACAAAACTTTGTCTTTTATTAAAATGAATACAATTACCCTCAAGAGAGAATGTGTGCGTTAAGCAGAAGAATCTCCTAGGGTGACTGTTCAAAATGCCAATTCCTGTGCCCCACCCAGGGCTTATGATTTAGTATTTCTAGAATGAGGCCCAGGAACTGCATTTGTAATGAGCACCCCAGGAGACTGTGATACACTTGGGCCCAGATACACTTTGAGAACCACCACCTGTGCCTTAGCAGTCACTTCAGGAAGGATTCATCCAGATCCTCTCTGAGGATGAGGTTTGACCGTTGCTTTACTCTTTGGTGTGTCCAGACTAATAGTGAACTTCTGGGTACCCCTCAAGAAGAGGGGAGCTTGCTGGCCTTCGAAGAGTCTAGAACTTATCAGACAGGACTCTTTGGCCTAGAATTCAGAAGTTGTTCATGTGGCCAAGGTAGTCTGTACTAGGACATTTTGCCCCAAAACAGATGATGTGTGAATGAATACTAATGGTTATGAGTCCTTGGGAACCCCCAAGGGATGATTTCTTTTACTTTTATGCCCCACCTCACCCCCCACGTCCCACGCCACCAAGCAATGGAAGGGCTAGGATTCCACCCTTAGAGCCCCATCTCTGCAGGGTGGGCAAGTCCTCCAGACTCAGGCCCCCATCACAGTATAGTTTTCCCTCAGGACCTCAGGCTCCTCCCTCCCTCCTGGGGCAGTGCAGCCTAGCTCCCTGTCCTGCACTTTCAGGGCCAACTCCTACACCCAGCAAGGGTCTTCTCTGAATAAAAATGTCTCTCATTTAGAGATTCCAGGTCAGCCTTTGCCAGGACAGAGCACACAAAAGTCTGGGCACTCCAAACAGGCTCCACTCAGGGTGGGTGCAGCTCAGGGGTGGGGGACGCAGGCTGGCCTGGGGTTTGTATCATTGGTGCCTGCAGGACCCAAAGAAAGAAACACACAGATCCCTGGACCCCAAAGCCTGCTGCCCTGATTAGCCCTTCTCCCACATTTGCTTGTCATGTCTTCTTTGCCTTAAAGATTTAATCCTCCTTACAAGATTCAGCCTGGACACACCTCTGCCTGGAAGCCTTCCCTTCTGGGGTCCCCATAGCTTAGCACTCACCTGCTTTGTTGTAATTACCCATTAATGCGCTTGTCTCCCCAAAACAGGAGAGCCGTGAGGGCCCAGCACAGACATTCATCTAGGGTGGCCAACTTTTTTGGGCTTTCTGGGTTTTATACTGAAAGCCCTGCACCCCAGGAAACCCCTCGGTCCTGGGCAGCCCCGAGGGACCAAGCCGTGCCAGCCACACCAGCCGCTGAGGCAAGGCCTCCTCCTAGCCGAAGGCCCCAGGCATGGCAGGGAGGCCGTGTGCCACTTTGGAATGAAGAAGGAAGAAAGGAGACATGATTCTTCACCTAGGAGAAGCAAAGGCTGAAGGAAAGGCGATGGGAGAGTGGAGTGGGGCTGGGTTCTTAACCACACAGTTTCGAGTCCAACTTCCCAGAGGGTACGCTCAATTTCTCGTATACAGCAGGTGCCCAGTGCATTGAAGTGTTGTTGACATTGGTGTAATTCGTGAAATCCTTCCCCAAATCTAAGTTCTTCCTGTGAGGTGCAGCCCCTCCATCGTCTCCTGGGGGAAGCACAGCCAACTCCTGCTTCATGTTTCCTGTTCCTGGAGTGCTCGTCCTGCCCTCTCTGTGCTGCTGGAGGCACTGCCCAGGGCATCCCCCGCAGGTGGCAGGGAACCGGCTCCCTGGCCACAATAAGGATGAAGAGGCTTAGGGTTAAAGGCAGGACATAAGGCTCTGGAGCAGGGAGCCTCATTCTCCACTTGGAAGATAAGACCCTTAAGTACTGATGTCCCCAGAGGGAGAGCAATGGAGTGGACTGGCCTGCAGAAGAGTAGGCAGAGGGGCCTGACCAGCAAGCCAGCTCCTAGAGGTGAGGCAGAGGGCATCCTGCCCAGATCCCAGCCTGATCCTGGACAGATGACCTCCAGACTCAGATATCTCACTTCGTTCAGGCATCTGCTCCGGCGGGATCTGCTCACATCATTAGCTTCCAGGAGACAAACTAAGGGTCTGAATAAAGCAACCTCACCCTCTAAACTGGCTTCCTTCAAAAGGCACTTCTCAAAGCCCCAGGCTCCCGTAAGCGTTGCCAGCGGGGTCAGCTCCTGGGATGTTTCTGGGGCACAAGGGCCTCGCTCAAGCGGGCCTGGAACTGCACGGGCTTCTCCGGAGAGGCGGGCAGGCTGCTCCCAGCCGGTGGGGAAGTTGACCAGGCAGAGGTTGGCCCTGCAGGCCTCTGTCCAGGACATCAAATGTAATCCTTGCCTTGATACCATGATGTGTCGCTCATGTTCAATGCTCCATTTCACAGTCTGTCAGCCCAGTCCACATGGTGTCACCTCTCAGTGCCAGACTCAGCTTTCTTCCCGGGGCTCCCCTGCCAAGCTAGCTGCCCTGGGCCATCCTGGGGTGTTCCCAGCCGTCAAGGGCAAGGAACTTAACATCCTGGGAGCAATCCTCCGCCAACAGGGCTGGAGCGAGCAGATCAGTCCCACACCCTGGGGCCCATTCTGCAGATTCCTGACAGGGCCCCAGCTGTGCACAGTAGGAATCAGCTCAGTAACACACCCTTGAACTGGCCAGCCCCATGGATCACTTGCCAAACGTGGGTCCTTGCACAAAGGCCCCTACTCAGTCTCTGCTTTGGGGGAGAACTCAGGTTAAGACAAAGTTTACTTCCTAAGACGCTAACACAATCCCTTATGCCAAACTCAGGCTTACTAACAACACCTCACACATGTATAGCACTTTACAGTTTACAAAGCTCTCCTTCCAGTGACTCTGGCTCACAGACCACCCCCAGAACTTAGTGGCCCGAAACAGCGACTCTTCGTGCTCAGAGATTGTGCGTGTCAGTGACTCTGGGAGGGCGCAGTGGGAATGCCTGTCGGTCCCTGATGTGCGGGGCCCCAGCCGGAATGAGGGAGGCTCGCCCACATGTCCCAAGGGTGACGGGCCGGTGGCAGGAGCTCCAGTCCTCTCCAAGTGGAATTCCTCACAGCACAGTGGCCAGGCTGTGCCTCTTCTTATGACCCAGCCTCCGGGATCAGACAGCCTCACTTCTACTTGCCCAGAGTCCGCCCAGCGTCAAGGGGCAGGGCCCATTTTGGGGAAAAACAATCTGCCACAGCTCCTCCCACATGATCTCATTTGATTCTCCCAGAAGAGACAGCATCATGTCTTTGGGTTTGCAGGGCTTAGCTCAGTGCCTGGCACGTAGCAGGTGTGCAATAAATCCCATTTGTCTTGTGGAGACGGACAGGGTTTTGAGTCAGACTGACCTGATTTGAATCCTGGTTTCATGACTTTCTACTGTACGATCCTCGAGATGTTATTTAGCTTCTCTGAGCCTCAGTTTCCTAACCTTTAAAATGGGAGCCAAAATACCCCTTCCTCAAGGCTGGCACGAGGGCTACGCTCGGTTGTGTGTGTGATGTGCATGTCATGCGAACGTGAAGTGCGATCAGCCTCCCGGCACCGGGCTGTGTCAGCTTCTCATTTCCCTCTTCCATTCCATTCCACCCCAACTCAAGGTCTGGTGGCTTCTTAAACTTCCTAGCAGGACTTCATGGACTGAGGTAAGACACCACCTTTAGTTGTGTGTCCAGGGTCTCAGCCACAGGCTAGGGTTGAAGAAGTCAGGGTGACTGGCTACAGCGCTTTCTCTCTCTTCCCCCTCATTGGACTCAGCTGCTCAGCCCAGAACTACAAGCTCAGACTGTCTGGTTCCCCAGAAACTCTGGAGATTGTCCCAGGAGCGGTGGAGAACCCTGCCCCTCCTCCCCTAGGGCATTGCCTGGACTGCTGCCATCAGGTGTCTAACATCAGGTGTCCTTGGGGGTACCCTCTGTGGGCAGCTTGTCCCACCCCCAACCCTACCTGATAGTTGGGGTCCCTGCCCAGCTTTCACTGCCGCTGGGGCTGGACCCTACCCCACATTCCAGAAGTTAAGTGACTTCATTCTAGAAGGTGCCTCACTCACCATCTCCCCTGGCCCCTTGCCCATGCTGTTCCCTCTACTTGGAATGCTCTTCCCCCAATCACATCACCTGCAAAATCTTATCCTGGCTTATGCACCATCTCATCAAGGAAGTTTACCTGGATCCCTCCCTGCCAAGATAATATCCAGCATAGCTCTGTAGAAGCAACTGTGTCTTAATTTATCTGTCTCTCCACTAAGCTGCACTTGCCTGTTCCCAGCTGTCTCTCCACCACCTCACACAGTGCCCAGTGCCCTCTGTATTTGATGAAATGAATGAATGATGATGGATTGGTGCTCTGACACGCAGGGCACCCCTCTTCTTGGCAGCCCCCACCCACCCTATACTCAG